CTGTCTCTCTGTGTCTCTCAAAAATGAATAAACGTTAAAAAAATATTTTAAATAAATAAACATTAAAAATATGAAGTTTAAAAAAATTAAGTTTAAAGGTTTCTAATATTTGAGTGGACCTCACTCTAAACCAGTAAACTCATCATCACCATTGGTAATGAAGCTAGCACTGGATGTTCAGCTGTCAGGGGAAATGGTTGAATATGGTGGTAAAAGGCTTGGACTCAAGTCAGCTACACCTGGGCTCCAGCCCAGGGGCCAGATATTTAACCTCTAAGTTTTAGTTTTCCTCTTCAGTACATTGAGGATGATAACAATAAATACTTGATGTAGCTGCTATGATATCTAGTTGAGAAAAACCATGCACAATGCATAAGACTCAGCATGTAGTGTTTGATCCATTTTCACTATTGTTATTAAAAGACATTCATGCCTTGGAAGCAAATATGAACTTGATGGAATCTAGACATAGGGGAAGTATCATTGTCTTATTGTCAAATAACAATGTGATTGAGATATCAACTGTGTGGTGTTTAAAATATGAGGCCTTGCACTTTCTTTTTAAAGTTGTTCCGGAACAGCCTCAAAACTTATCTTGTATACAGAAGGGAGAACATGGGACTGTAACCTGCATCTGGGACAGAGGACGAGACACCCACCTATATACTGCATATACTTTACAGTGAGTGAAAGACTATATTTTTGCAGCTGCTTTGTAGGTATTGTCTTAGACTACACTTAGAAATTCAGTTAGATATACATTTAGAAATAACAGTTTTATATTTACCACAGAGAAGCAATAGACACCTCTAGATAGGTACTTTAACAAAAATTCTAGTGTTCATCAGTTAAAACTGGTTCATTCATCCAAAGTGTGAGAACTGATGTCTTGGGTCTGCGATCTAACTCAGAGTTCTCTTCAGAGCATCCAAGGCTTATGTTATGGATGTTCCTCCCTGCTCTAATAGGGTTAAACTGGCCACATTATATCCCTTCTTTTGTGGTTGTAGACTCTTAGGGTCATAATATATAAATAGACTCCTCGTTGTGGTAGCTTTCCATTAGCTTCGGAGGAGTTTCTTTTTAAAGCATCTTTGTGTGACCTGGAAGTCCATACAAAGAAGAGTCTGGGAGATTCTGTTCCCTGGAGTTGATTCCATAATCCATCCAAAGGATAGGATAGTTTGCACATGCCTAACTGAGCAGGAAATGGAAAGAAAGTGGAGCCCAGGGTTCCAGGCTGTACTAGAAGCTGGCACTTCTTTTTGTACAGTAAATGCTAGGGCCATGGATCTTTGGGTAACAGTTGGGTCTGCCCTGAGGAGCCAGGATGTCAGCCAGGGTTTCGGGTTACTTATCTATATGCACATCAAAAAGTCTCAATCTGGTGTGCTTGGGTGGCTCAGTTGGTTAAGCCTCTGACTCTTGATCTCAGCGCAGGTCTTGATCTCAGGACTGTGAATTCAAGGCCTGCATTGGTCTCTATGCCGGGTGTGGAGTCTACTTAAAAAAAAAAAAAAAAAAAAAAAAAAAAAAAGGTCTCAATCCTACTAAAAAAGGGGAGAAAATATGGTCCTATTTATTACCATAGAATACAAATATTCCCTTAATGTATCCAACTGACCTTAACAAAATGTCTAGAATTTTGAATATTCAAATATTATATCCCTTTTGTACTAAAAGGAACAAGTACTCATAAAGTATGTTGCTAAACACAATTGTCTTTTATTTACAGGCTAACTGGACCAAAAAATTTCACTTGGCAGAGGCAATGTAATGATCATTATTGTGACCATTTGGACCTTGGAATTAACCTAACCCCTGAATTGCCTGAATCCAGTTACACAGCCAAGGTTACTGCTACAAATAGTCTTGGAAATGCTTCTTCAATTCCATCCACATTTACATTCTTGGACATAGGTACATTTTATTTCACACTTTGTAGGTATCATTCATTGGTAAATGAACATTATTCTTAAAATCACTTGAATGTTCTGTACGTGATTGTTTCAAAAGGGACAATGGCACAAAGAATAGATATTACTTTGATGCAAGGAAAAGAGTGCATGATCTCAGAGCCTTATGGAGATGGCCATACAGAATGGAATGTTCAACATTATTCTCTCTGTTGGAGAAAAAAGAACTTAGTCCCACAGAGGCACTAGCTGCCAGTGATAACCATTTGACTGAGGAGAGGGTTCTGCAAGATTGATTATTCATGAAACTCAGTGTAGGCATTTCTTGTCAGAGATATCTTTTTACCCCCATGGTTACTCCACTATTCTGAGATAGGCTACCTGTGGGTTTGCTGGGCCAGCGCAGAGGTGCAAACTATCAATAAAGTGTACCAAGGTACAGGGGTGCCTGGGTGGCTCAGTCAGTGAGGCGTCCAACTCAGTTTCAGCTCAGGCCATGATCTCATGGTTCATGAGTTTGAGCCTTGCATGGGGCTCTGTGCTGACAGTGCAGAGCCTGCTTGGGATTCTCTCTCTCTCTCTGCAGCTCCCCTGCTCATTCTGTCTCTCAAAATAAATAAACATTTTTTTTAAGTGTATCAAGGCACAAATGTATCTTGTTCTGAGAATACCTACTACCATTCTCATCACCTTGGGACCTGGAGTGAGCCAGTTGTAGCACATTTCTGAGCAAATAAAATTGGCCCAGTTGAATTAGAGGCCAGTGTCAAATATCCCTCAGGTAGGACTGTGCTTCTGGTCTGCCTTAACTTCCAGCCTTACATTATGTGTCTCTCTTCTCTCTTCCCACAGCACCTCTTTGCACAGGATATATTGCTATGGGTATCAACACAGGCATTTATTATACATTACCTATCATACTTCTCCCCGTCTTACTACCTTCCATTTCTTTATATTGACTATTTCTGTGTAAGGCACCTTCTTTTCCTCTTATTCTTTCCCTCTGTTCTCTGGTTCCTGTGACCCTTCTGTATGACCTTTCCCTACCACCATTTCTTCTTCTGAGAAGTGATCACCACTAGCCACCTCTGCCTTGTCAGCCATTGGTACTCTGGGGCTTGGTACATTGGTTTTCTTTATGCATTGGATTAAATGCAGTTGATACTATCACTAATGTTGAAGGTAGTTTATTTGGTAAAAAATAAGGGTAGATTAAGGAGAATTATTTTAATTATTTAACAGTGGATCAAACTTTTTTTTTTTTCTCTGTAAAAGCCATGGATTTCTTTCTTCTATATCTCACCAGCTTTGGTAGTCGTGCATCTTAGAAATGAGCTGTGTTCACCTCTTTCTGGCTTACGTCAAAACAAAGGTTATTTCTGATTTTGGAGCCTGAATCACACGTTTTTGTTTGTCCTGATTACTAGTGAGGCCTCTCCCTCCATGGGACATCAGAATCAAATGTGTAAATGCTTCTGTGAGCAGATGTATCCTTCAGTGGAGAGATGAGGTGCTGGTGTTGCTTAATCGACTCAGATATCGGCCCAACAGCAGCAGGTCCTGGACTATGGTAATGGTTTTTAGAGTAAAGGGGAAAAACAGGGAGGGGCTCCTAATATGACTGCACAGATCTCTGCCTTTTCATGCCAGCAAAATATGGGGTTTAAGAATATTTAGCCCTGGGGCGCCTGGGTGGCTCAGTCGGTTAAGCGTCCGACTTCGGCTCAGGTCACGATCTCGCGGTCCATGAGTTCGAGCCCCACGTCAGGCTCTGGGCTGATGGCTCAGAGCCTGGAGCCTGCTTCCGATTCTGTGTCTCCCTCTCTCTCTGCCCCTCCCCCATTCATGCTCTGTCTCTCTCTGTCCCCAAAATAAATAAACATTAAAAAAAAAAAAATTAAAAAAAAAAAAAGAATATTTAGCCCTAAAGTACACACTTGAGATAGATCAGAAAGTCATATGCACCTCTATTTATTAAGAAATATCTTGAATTTTGATTATTGATTCTGAAATTTTTTAAGCCGCAGGCTTCTGTAAACTAATATTAATTTTCCACAATTAGTTAAGTATTCATTGTACCTTGTTATGCTACCCCTGTTTTACTTTTTAGTAATCTTTTTACATATTAGAAAGAGAAATATTCGGAAATGTCCATAGAGGCTTATATGGAATTGAATATTGCAAAGATAAAGCCCCACACTTTGATATATTAGACATTAATGTTTTTAAATTAAATTTTAGGATTATAATTCCTCCTAGTATATTTGTAAAATAGAATGGCTTATAATAATAACAAAGGATAAGTTCCACATATAACTGAAACTCATGAGAAATTGCTTTTTTAATATAATTAAAATTTTCTTTTTGAAGTCCGTTCTATGTCTGTGATAAAACATTTATCACATTCTAATTATGACCAAATAAAAAATAATCTCTAGAAAATTCTCCAAGTTTTTTCTGAAAATTGGTATTTTTCAGCCTTTACTTACTTTTCAGCTTGTTTCAGGATCCCCCTTGGGACCCTTATAGGTGGGTTCTTAGTCCCCAGAGTTTGTTTTTAATGAGAAGCTATTTCATATTAACATCATGTATATTCAGTAGCCCTGTCATTGGTATTTTTTCTCAATGAATGACAGATCTGAAAAAAGAGAAAGGGTTATCTACTCAAGTTTCTTACCTATGTGTGTCAAAATTCTTTAATTTTAATTGACACCTTTAAAAATCTTGTCTGATTCAAGGTCAATGCTACAAATGCCAAAGGAAGACAGGATCTGCTGGATCTGAAACCATTTACAGAGTATGAATTTCAGATTTCTTCTAAGTTACATCTATATAAAGGTAGTTGGAGTGATTGGAGTGAACCATTCAGGACACAAACACCAGAAGAAGGTATGTGTTCTAAAAAGGAGGGTGGGAAGAGAAGGAGGAGAGACGGGAGAGGGATCTCTAAAGTACTGGTACTGAATCAACAAGTTAATTTAACACATTAATTAACAAGTAAATGAGTACACTAATTAACAAGTTAATTTTGACTTTAGCTTAACTACTGTAATTGTCCAGGGAGATATGTTTATATTGTTAGGGAAATTTTAACATTAAGTAAGTCCTACCCCTGTTTGCCCCATGTTTTCATGTTGGTTACAAGCTTATGCTTCAGTAATGTTTGGTTATAACTCTTATTTCTATTTTTTTTTAAGTTTATTTGTGTATTTTGAGAGAGAGCACGTGTGTGCAAGCAGCGGGGAGGGATAGAAAGAAAGGAGAGAGAGTCCAAAGCAGACTCCACGCTATCAGCGCAAGCCCAACGCTGGGCTCAGTCCCACTGACCATGAGATCATGACCTGAGCAAAAATCAAAAGTTGGAGGCCTAACTGACTGAGACACCCAGGCACCCCTTATTTCTATATCTTGTTTCTATTACTAGCTCAGTAACTCTCTCATTCCACAAAACCATAACCAGTAATTTCATTCCTTTATAGTAAAACTTGATCATTCTACCTTTTGGATTCTATGAAAATTAAAAGCTTAAAAGAAGGTAGACTCGGGGCGCCTGGGTGGCTCAGTCGGTTAA